ATTTGTCTTTCAGTTTTCTAAGCGAAGCTAGATTGAAAAGCAGAAGCTGGAATGTGATAAAACATGGAGAAACGAAAATGCTGATAAATTATCCATTCTTGTTTTGTTTTATTTTTTTTTTTCCAGCAGGCTCTGTAGCATTTTTAATAATATAAATACTGTTTGACTTCATTACCGTACAACAGATATTAATGCTTATGATATTTAAAACTGGTCCAGCTGATCAACCCAGTATTGGTATAAAACTTGGGCAGCGACATCAATTGCCATCTCCCACATTTGCCAGTAGAGGAATGGTACCTTTCTCAGAGTAGGCAAAGGTAGGCAAAGGTCTGTTAATTACTCTGTTGACAGTCATATCAGGACCTGTGTTGAACGAGTTCTTGCCCGTGGGATTAACAGCAGCATGTGTTCGCATAATAGAGAGTGTTTATTTGTTATTTAGCGTGCCTGAAATATTTTTACTCTTTTACCCTGGTGTGTACAGAGGTATCTGACAGACAACATGCCATTTTAGAATGGATTTTGTTCAAGGTATCTGTGTTTATTTTGTTATAATTAGAGATGGTCCTTTTTGAAAACAGTGCTTGAAACATCACACGAATGCTAAAAAGAGTCTACACGGTATTTAAGAAATTACCAGCCTGATATTGAAAGGATAGATATTATTTCACTTTAAAAAAAAAACCAACAAACTTTAAATACTTTCAGAGAAGATCTTCACACTGCTCTCTCCGTCAGCAGTGGCGGTCCCTCGGCGCTGGTTTCTCGGAGCCGTGGCAGCAGAAGCTCGCCCTCGCAAACGCCTTTGTCTGCCTTTGCTGACCCGGCTGCACCGTGTTGGCTCTGCGGAAACGTCAGCTCGCTCTGCCCATCGCCTGTGCTGGGCTCCTGCTGACTGACGTCAGGGTGCGATGGCCGTGACCGACCGACCGGACAGTCGCTCTCCATACGCCTTGAGTTCACCGACAGCCGCCGAGTAACGCAACCGCCAGTGCCTGGGCTGCTGCTACCGCTGCTACCTCTGCTACCGCTACTACCGCTACCGCTACTACTGCTACCGCTGCTACCGCTACCGCTGCTGCTGCTGGTCCTGCCGCCGCAGCTCCATCATGCAGCCACGGTCCATCGCCCAGAGCAGCCGGCCCCGTTAGCCAGACTGGCCGCAGGCGAGGGAATGCGGTGAGAGCCCCGGCGGTCACGACACAAAGACTGAGCGTGGATGCCAACAAATAAAAAGCCAAGCCAGCTGGGGATTTGTAATGCGAGCGGCATTTCCAGGTTTCTTTTCCGTTTTGCTCTCATCCTGCTGTTGGATTTGAGATCATGTATGTGTTTTGCTGTTGATTATGAAGGGGCGGGGGGGGGTGGTGTTAAAATCTAGGGAGGGAAGAGGATTCAGAAGGATTAATATGCTGGTTTTGATTTAAGGGGATTTTTTTTCTTTTTCTTTCCTCTTATCCCTGCCCTTCATCTTTGTTAACACAGCTTTGTCTTTATTATTTTTATTTTAGGTCGGTCAATATTGTAGCCTTTGGGAATGAAAGAGACGAGTTTTCTGAGGACAATCAGCAGCCGAGCCTGATCTGGAGCTATCTCGGGAGAAGTGCTCTCGTTTCCCAGATTGACAGCAGCTTCTCTGCCAGTCACGCTGGAAACCCAGTTTTTACCGAGTACCAAGCCTGCGTGTTTGGAAATGTCAGACTGGTGGTACACGACTGTCCTGTCTGGGTAAGAGATCAATCTCAGTCTTTTTAACTGCACTTAACAGTGTAACGTGTTTTAATAACATCGAAGTATATCTTGATTTTAAATTATTTTAATTATTCTGGGATTTTATTCATATTTTAATTATTGCAAATAGTAAAAGCGTGTAAAATGTAACCAAGCAAATGCTGCAAAGTCTCAAAGATGCTACAGAAAGTTTCTCATTAACAAGCTGCTGCCCACCTCCCCTGTGGGAAGGTGATATTTGCAACCGTGGTGTTCAGTGAAAACTTTATTGAAGGTAATTCAGAGGTAAACAAGAACCCTTTTTTTGTGACACTGCATCATGAGAACTGTCTCCAAATATTTATCAACAATAAAACAAAATGTATATATTTTTTCTGAAAAAAAAAACCCTCAGTTTTCCAGCTTTGAAAAGTGAAGAGATTTTAAGATTTGGTATCTTGCAAAATATGGTACATGGAGTCATTTTACTTCTGCTACAATGAATAATCACATCTTAACATTATTTCCTTAATTTGAAGGCAAATAAAAAGGATTTTGGCACTGTTCCAAGCTGTCAGCACTTTTGTTAGTAAGTGAGATAACTTAGTTATGAGTGTGAGCAGATCAATGCTTATGTAAGAAATGATACTGATAATCTAAATTAAAACATGTTTAATGACTACTTAGTAGCCTTAAAAAAAAATTAAGCTTAGCAGCTTTCAGAAATTAAAGCAATAATCAGTTTCAGCTCCATAATTCTATCCTTAGGTTGATTTTTGCAGGGAAAAACTTTTGTAAGGGGAACTTTTTTTGGGCTCTGCAGGAATCCTAACAGTTCCAGAAATACATGATCAGAAGTTTGTACCCTGAAAACTAAATGATCCAGTTTAGTTATCTTTTTGTTGTCTCTGTCTCACTCCTTTTCTGTCGGCTGCACTTACAGACACGGGTTCGGACGGACGGGGGGATCTTGGTTTTAATCTCCGACGCCGCATGTGACCTTCACGTGCAGTTTGCTGGAGTCATTGGAGCGCAGCGATGAGTAAAAGCTCCTGAACATAAATGAAGGCTGTGGGACTTCAGAGGGTGTTTCGGGGGACTGGAGGCTGGTGAGGGAGGTGGGGAGGCAAGCAGGGATAGCTGGAGAAGGGGAAAGAGAGGACTGTGCCGGAGACGCCGTTCATGAGTTTGGGACTTGGTCATCTTTGAGGTCTCTTCCAACCATAATGATGCTATGATTCTGTGTTGTTTTAGTTGCATTTGCTCTTCTAGAAAACAAGATTCTTCAGTTCTGGTGACAGTGTCATTTTTGCCCTTGAGAAGGTAGCTTGTTATTGTCTGGGGCATGGCGTTTCTGAGGCCTCTTGTTGTTTCCTTTCTCAGCTAAAGGAGGCAGGAGATTTATTACTGGGAATGATGAGGAACAATTAGACATCTCAGATAGCCGGATTGGACTCTGAGGAGGTTATTTGTTCAGAGTGAAGCTGTCTTCTTGCTAGGGTGAGGCACAACGGGGTTGTTTTCCATGGTCTGGAAGCTTGAGGTTTGCTACGTCACAGTGGTCCTTTCAGGACGGTTCCTCTGGCAGCCTGGCGAAACGATACAGGACAATTCAGAACGTTGACTGACGTCGCCTCAAGTCATATTCTTCGTGGAAAAGGATTCTTGCGGCATGTTACTGAAACATAGAGATGGTGGTATGGTGGGCCTTGCACTATTTCCACCTCTGTCGTCTGAGCGTAACGTAAAGGTGGATTTGCATTTTACCTGAGATTTGTATCTCGTCTAGATTAAATCCACATGATTAAGGCAAGCCAGTTATAGGCGTAAACTTGGCAACTCAGACTGGTAGTCGTGAGTCTCCAAACTCACAGATGCCCAACTCCTCTTAGTCCTCTACAGCTCTCAGTCTGGAAAAGCAGTATGGAGGGACCCTTTTGTGGGACAGAGTGTGGTACAGGGTGAGTTTACTCCCGTTTCAGTCTGCGGCTGCTTGTCTCCGTCAGCCCAGGACACTGTTCAACTTTTTGAGTCAACAGCTCAAGTGTCTTCGGTTGAACTCTTCATGATGATAGCACTCTTCCCTATGATACAGGGCATCTTACTGTGTACCCTATCGCTCTTTGAAAGGGCTGCGGCAAGGTTTTCCAGCAACTGTCAAAGCGCTGGTGCGCTGATGGGTTGGAGAAACAAGAAAGGTCTGGACCATGCGGTCAACACTGCCGTGGTGGCATTGTCTTGGTGGGCACAGGGTCGGTGAAATGGCAGCAGTTCTGCCGTGGGAGTGTGGTATTTTATAAGCTGAAGGTGACCGAAGGTGGCTGCCAAACTGCAGAGTTGGGAAGCAAGGCTTCTTGGGCAAGATTACCCAAGGCAATGCCCATCAAATGTTACAGACCGACGTGGGGGAACGGTGTTTCCAACCTGCCATGGGACTGCTGTTTTCACAGTGGCTCCATAAATATTTTAACCGCCTGTGCAGGTATTATATTCTTTGATATTGCTTGGCTTAGAAAATTACAAGGACAAATTGATGTTTGCCAACATGTAAAACAGCGGTAGCGCATTGTGAGAAGCAATGAAGGTTTTAGACATTGGAACAGGCTCCCCAGGGAGGTGGTGGTGTCACCATCCCTGGAGGTGTTCAAAAGATGTTTAGATGTGGCGCTTCGAGACATTGTTTAGTGGGCATGGTGGATTGGGCATATGGTTGGACTTGATGATGTTTGAGGTCTCTTCCAACCAGCATGATTCTATGATTCTATAAGCTTCCTTTCCCGTGGCAATTGCAGGGTGCAGGATGGAAATGCTGACTTTGGGGAGGATGTTATCATTCACGCAGATGACCTGGAGTTGTAGAGATAGTGGTGGAGTAGACTTTCCAAAATCTGCAAGCAAAATGTCACCGTTTCCAAAACCGCATTGGTCTCCGTGTGTCAATCGCTAGGTGTATCACTATGGCCTGCCGTGTCTTGGGCTGCTTTTGCAAAGCTGCATGCTGTTATCTCCCACGTGCAGGGCACAGATACACAAGTGGATGGGCGACATTGTCATTCATGTGGCTAGAAAACATTTTGACAAAAAATGCAGCCCTAGGATGAGAGGAGATACAAAGAACTAGGGAAAACACACATGTGTGCTGACATCCATGCTGAATATTGTGATTTTAATAGCGGAACAGTTGCTAATGCATGCTCCTGTTGTGCTCTTATAAAGCATGTTGAAGTAGCATGTCCCAGTTTTTCTGATTTTTTGGGAGGTAAAACTCAGTATGGGAGCTAGTAACTTCCATAGAGTAATTTGCAAGATGAATTTTAAGATGTGCTTTGGGAAAGGTTGCTTTATTTAGCACTGTATATCAGATTTGACAGTCTTTGGGACTGAGTTGCTGTTTTATTGGATTTCATGTAGTTTGCAACTTTGGTCACTTTACACTGAATTTTGTTATGTTTCTGCATATGTACAAGTAAAAACTGCAGAAAAAGTGCAGGCAAAATTCGTAATATCTGATGGCAAGTGAATCTTCCTCAACTTCAGAATGAAGCAATAGCACCGGAGCTATAATTCATATTTTGATTCATTTCATTATGATGCTGGTAAATAAACGGCAGAATGAAAACTTTGCTGTGAGGGTCCCCTATCTACGTTCCCTCTCTTGTTCTTTCGTTTCTTACTTGGAGCGGTACTATAAGGACACGAGAGTGTTTCAGTCATGGACTGGGGGTCTCACTGTCCTTTTGCATTTGTTTTTTCCCCTCTGTAAGCCACCCATTTTGGGTTGTTATGCTTTAAAAGGGGGTGGGCTTGGTGTTATTTTTTTGTTGTTTTGTTGTGTCTTTTATTTTTCCCGCCCCAGGGAGCAATACCTCCAGAAATTTTTTGGTTTCTCCTGGTTTATAAAAACTGCCCAGTTTCTAGAGAATCACTGACATCATCGTGTTCCCAGTAGCAGAAATGTTACAAACGGAGAAAATAGAGGATCTGGGTTTTGGAGAGTGCCTCGTGCTGGGCTAGGCACTTGCCGAGGGACGGGTGCTGTGCTGTGTTTGTACCTGCTCCGAGGCTTGCACAGAGCTGCAGACCTCCATGGGACTCACTAGTGCTCAAACGTAACAACTGCGGTTTTGAAAAGGCGTTCTGTGAATTGCGTTTTTTAAATGCTACCTTTCAACAATCTCTTTACCTGAGCCTTTTCACATGTTTCTGTCTGCTTTTTTTTACTGCACAAACAGTAGTAGTAGTTCCCCAAACCCTATGAGCTTTCTTTCGTCCGTGGTATCACCCGTGATGTAGTTATCTGGCTTCTTCCCTGCATCAGCATCCTTGTGCTTCTTGTGCTGGCTAGGCTGGCTCGCCCTTAACATGTCTGAAGGTAAAGGAATCTGATCCGCTGTTTAATCTTCTTTATTATTTTTAGAAATCAAGTCAAGTTACTGCTTTAGTACAAAACCATAGCTTACAACCTTTCATTTTCTAATATGTTGTTCTTTCTCATTGTTAAGCTTAGCTCTCTGAAGTTGGCAGTTCACAACAAGTTATCATATCCTAGTAAATTATTTTCCCTACCTTGTTCTTTGTTTTTCCTTTTTACAGATACTATTAAATTACTCTATGAGAGAACAACACAGGACAATGCCAGCCCTTTTTTTTTTTTTTTTGAGGGGGGGAGTTCAGCTCAACCAGTTAAAACTGTTTTGGAAAACTTCAAGTGAAAAATAAAAGTGGCATTTCAGGGTTGTGGTCTGGATTCCCTTGATTTCTGAAGAAGATACTTCCTTCTGTGCTGCAGGTTACTTAGCTGAGTAAGTTCAGGGGACTGGTAAGTTATGGAGAGTACACCTGCAAAATGTGTTCTGCTGTGGACCTGAGTGATGAGAAATTGCAGAGAAACCTTGAAAAAAATGGGGAAGCCACTGGTATGTGGTGTGGGAAGCATCACTGGAAAGGCGGCAGTGTTAATGGAGGATGAGTCTGTAAATGGATCCTAGAGAGAGATGGACTGTCCAATATTCCCAGTGCAGCTCTCCTGGATGCTGGGGAAATCCCAGGGGAATGGTCCTCGGGGGTGTCCAGGCTCCCTTGTGCCCCCAAAGAGTGTTTCCTATATCTGCTGCCCCGGATCAAGGTCTGGGCTTGACGGACATGGGGACATTTACGAGGAGCTTTTAGAAAGAGCGTGGGCATTGCAAGGGCACTTGTGCAAGGGATTTCACTGCCATTCCAGAAAGGCATTCATAAATTATTTTTAACAAAGCAAGCATTGTCCTCTTGAGGGGTCTTGTGATTTTGTAGGACAATTGCGTCTTCATTGCCTCTGAAGGCTTTATTTTCAACGTTAATGCTTGAGAAGTATGATTTACTCATGGCGAGAATATATTATGAGACGTATAATGGAGACATGCAAGGAAAGAATGAAGCTTTTTTTCCTAGTAAGTCCTGAGAGGAATAGCGACAGAAATATTATAATTAATAAGGTCGTATTATAATAACCTTAGCTGTGCAGTTACTTTTTCCTTTTCTCATTGGCTGTCTTGGGAAACGGACCGTGCCAAGGGCGGGAGGCGTGATAAGGAGCAGCTGCTACATGAATTTCATAGACGGAGCCTGGAACTAAGGTTATTCCTGAATCTGAACTCTTGGTCATCATCTGAAGAGAAGAAATTTCCTCTGTCATTTGGCATGGAAGCTTCCCTCAAAGTGATAATCAAGGAGGCTCCAGATGCTCTGTCTCAGTGATGCCTTAGGCAAATAACCCTTTCTTGTCGGAGACCTTTTTGGAGGATTTTCCCAGCAGAGAGCCGCAATCTGAGCAGTCTATACTACGTTTGATACAAAATGAAAATAATTGCAGCAAGACCTCTGGAAACATGTCTTTCTCCTCTGTGTTTTTAAACATAACATCCATCTTCAGGAATGGTCTTTCAGGGGTGTTAAATCAAATATGTAAGGGCATGGTGAAATTGCACTAGGGTAACAGAAATCGGGTGCCGTGAGATGTTGGGTTGGCACATTCTGCATTTTTCACTTCTTGATGTTCCCAGGGCTGGCTCTTACCCTCAGAAAGTGGGGTCCAGCCCAACCAGAACTTCATAAACTTTGGTAAAATCCTTCTTGATAAGATTAACGGAGAGACAGAGTGGGCAGTGGCGGAAAGCACAGACCTCCACAAACCTGCCGCAACGTGTGGTCACACAGACCTGGGAGGCTGATGCAGCCCTCACCGTATTTCCATAGGATTTCTTTCCCCTAATAGTTAAACAAAGAGGTATATTTGCACACCCGTGTGGCTGTTTTCAGTAAGGATTTTGCTAGTTTTCCCCACATCTGCAGAGATGGAAATATGGCAAGCTGGGTTAAGTACAAGAAGGGTAGAGGAATCATACAAAGTAATAGCCATATTTTCATTTTGTTGTTTTGTTTTCCAAAATCTAACTGTTTATCTTATTAGTATTATTTTCACTAGGAAAGAAACCCCAGCCCTTTATGGTTTTTTTTGCTCTATATGGTATTGACCTCTCAAGACACTGCTTTGTTATATGCGTGAGCAGGCACATGTGGACAAACGCAAGTCTAATTCAACATACTCTGTTGACATTCCCATTGACAAGAAGGGTGTTAGAGCTGCCACTGGTCGAGGTTAGGGCATGGAGGGTCTTCCAGGCTGGTGTTTTATGGGACGGTGCTCTCCTTGGAGAGCCAAGATGAGGGCTGTGTGTCTGGATGTGTATCGGATACCTGGTGGTGTGTCCTCCGCTGCTGGTGGGGCTGGTGTCAGGATGGAGCCATGGCTCGGTGCGCTTTGGTATCTAGAAACCCTGTCCTCTGCCGTAGGTCAGGACTAGCTTTATGCTGAAGCTAAGCACAAGAGTCACAGTTGGTTCTTTCCTTGGGCATGGCTGTGTTCATATCGATCAAAAACTTGGAAATCTTCCTGAAATCTTTCTGTTTTGTAACACAAAATGGCGTCATAACGCACTGGAGATGTATCTCTGTCGTAAAATGGAGGGAACTACGAACCATATACAAATATATCACTAAGTGTAAAAAAAACATATTCCGTTCTGTTAGAAGTTTCTGTAAACATTTTTTATTATTAATGGTTAAAGTTGTGATGGAGTTCTTGTGTGTTTGTCTAGAGTACACTCTAGACCTTGCTGGTGATACTGCTGGTTAACACAGATCAGCGTGTGCAAACCTGGGCTGAGCTTGAAGACAGGGAGCTAGAAGGAAATTGCAAAGGAACAGGCATGCTTTCTGTTCGCCAACACAGAACAACTAAATATTCTGTATTATTTTTTGGTTTGCATTGTGTTTTTCCCTTAAACCTTTGTCATGTTAAATGTTTACAACCCGGCTAAAAATGCTCTGATAAGATCTTCATCAGTTAAAATATCTTAAAGCTGTCCCTTGAAAATTCTCAATTTTTACCTGATTATGTGATCAGTTTCTGCCAATGCCCATCTAGCTGGCTGTGTCCACGCACTGTAGCTGGTGGTCTTACTGCTAGAGGTGCTAAACGTGTGTTTATATGTTAACTTTATACTCTTAACACAGCCTAAATGATTCTGTTAAATGCTGGTAGAGATTTTCCTTACCCTGGGATTATAATAGTCTCTGAGTTGACTGAAAAAACAAATACCAAGAGCAGTGCTCTTAAAGCTCTTGTCAACATGGTGAAGCAGAGAATAGCTGTTCTTGATAATTTGTTAATTGTCTGTGGTTTTCTTAATACAGAACAAGAACATCTATTAAAGGACTTAATGGAAATACCTATTATACTTTGTTTATTTCCTTACTTATTTCTTTGTAAACTTAAGACTTAAATTTGGTGTGATGTGCACTGACAGTCTAGGCAAATATTTGCTTACTGATACGCTTCTGTCAAGTCCATGCTACCTCTTGTACTTAAGA